GGGCAGGCCAGTCAAAGATAAAGTTTTGAAATTAAAATACTTGTTTCATAGAATCATAAATTTGTTAAGGTTGGAAAAGACTGCTGAGGTCATCAAGTCCAACTGTTAACTACACTGCCAAGTCCACCACTAAGCCACGTCCCTGAGTGCTGCACCTACATGTTTTTTGAATGCTTCCAAGGATGACAATTACATCACCTGTCTGCATTGCTTGTTTTGTGTCTGGGATAAATTAGAGAGCGATAACAAAAAACCAGACTGGCATAACTTTAAGTTCAGCTTGCTGGGGAGAGGCAGCCTCGTTAGTACTCAGCAAGAAAGGAAAAAGGCCTCATGAAGCCAAAGTTTTACCTGAAGTCTGCTCTAGATAGTCCTTATACCAGTTCAGCTGTGCCAGCCTGTACTGTTATGACTGAAATAACAGTGTAGGTGACATAGGTGCATCAGTAGAGAAATGCCCTATACAAACTCCACCAGTTCTAAAGAAAAGGTTGAGAGCATGACCACAGCATGAGGGTGAAGGCTGCAAGAGAGGCGCTACAGACAAGAGCAGAAAGATAAACTCTTGATTATGGAGGTTGGCAGTACCTCAGCCCATTCCTCTTTGCATCTCATCCCTTGGGAGGACCACTGGAGCATCCCAAAAGTGTCTGGTGTTCGTGTGGAGAGAATTGCTTTGCCACAAGTTCATGCTGATGCAAGATGTTATGAAAACTAGTATTTCAAAATAACTTTTTCAGAAGATATAAACATTGGGGTAACTGCATCTTATTTAAGCCCTAGAAAGGTGAAGGTTCTATGTTAGTGCTTTTACATGACCTCCCTGTGAAGCTGTGCTGCAAGGCGGGTAATGGAGCTCTAACATAATTGCTGAGTAAAGATGGCCGGGCAATTGTACTCTCAGCATGTGATTCTTACTTGTATGGTGCTGAAAAAGGAAATTGTGCTTCCTTTATAAGAAGGAAACAACATGCCTGTTCCTATTAATTTTATGTGGCTGTTGGTTCTTCTTTGCTTCCATTATACTGAACTTCTAGCAACCACTCTTTTTGTTTAAGGGGAAACAGTGTGTGTTGAAAGAGTGAGGCAGACGACATTCTTCCAGAGAATAGGGTGGGAGTCATCTTTTCCTTGAGGAGTTGTGATTTGCCTGCAAGGATGAAGTAACCATCTTCTGCTTGTATGAAGAGTTTTGTATTAAATGCAAAGTCAGCAGCCTCCTGAAGTGAAATGAAAAATAATAGGAGCTAAGAGAGCTTCCATTTTAAAGCAAATAACTTTGTTGATTTTTCCCCCCAACTTGCAAGGGGTTTGGAAATGGTTTTAAATGAAAATTTTCATCATGTAAATAATAAAATTGGAATTCATCAGAAATGTGAAGGGGCAAGCTCACATGCTTCTCAGGCTTTTTAAAATTTATTTTGCTTTTATTAAAAAAGACATAGGGTAATATATTATTAATGAGGCTAAAGATCATTGATTGAAGCTTGCAAATAGCTTTTAGGATGAGGACTCCAAAAAGACACCTTCAACAACAGATCAGTTAAAACAAATGGGATTTACTAGTGCATATAAAATAAATCAGGAGACATTAAATACAGGAAAAATGTTGTAGGGGTTGGTGAACTATCCATTTGCAGTGCTCTGCTGGAGTGGTGGTATCCTGACCCACTCTTCCCAGTCGTGCCAATGTGCTGCTGGAGATGAGAATATTTGTGCAACTTCATCATCTGGGATCCAGTCATGATCCCATTCAGGGAAGGTAAGTCTGCTACTCAGGCTTAGAAAATATGATCATGTCCCATTTTGAATCCTTCACAATAGGGGTTTGAGTGCAAATAAGGTGATGTGATGTATAATGAGAGCACATATCTATTTTTTTGCAAGAGCACTTTCATGTGGGTGTTGTTAATCTGAAAAGTTTCACTTGGGAGAGCATTTAATATGTTGTGATTGATAGGTATCTAAAAATATGCAGAACATACTTGAACAAATGGAGGATTGATTTGCCCTTTTCTTCTTTAAATAGCTTAAGGTACTTGATTTTCTTTTAACTGTTAGGATTTTTTATGCTCTGTGAGTGCTACTTAGCTTCCATAAATGACTCCGAGTACAGTCAATAGAAACAAATGGCTGGAATTTGCAGTATTATAAACTATGTTTAAAAAAAAAAAGCACATTTGAATAAGGACCAGAACAGACTTGATTTTTTTAATAATCCCTTGCTTGTTGCCTGGTGGAGCAACCCACAGCTGGGTGTATAGCAGCTGGTTACATTGTGCAGAAAATCAGAAGTTTGAGCTGTCCTATGTTTGGGGAGGGGGGGAGCATGCACAATCTGCATTTCAGAAATGGGAATTCCTCTGTAGCATTTGTGGAAGAGAGGCCTCCTGTCTCAGCTGTCCTCTTGGGATTATTGAGCTTGTGTGAGCCTCTTTTCTCAGGGCTTTTGGTCCTGAATTACTCAGGACTGTTCTCATTTTCAGAAACATGACCTTACCAGCAAAAGGGTGGGCTCTGGGAATATGGTGGGTTGGTTATGCAATCTCACCCCTCCTTTTACTTCAGAAAAATATATTACTTCAGTATATATTGAAAATTTCTATCAAGACAGCTATTAGCTGTCTGATTTTCATTTTTTGCTCCTCTGATGAGCTTTTAGGTTTAACATCCTCTATGGAACCTGGGGCAGGACATCCCTGCTCTCTTGGGTCTATAAATCTTGTGATCTTTTTGTCTTAAGACAGCTTGCTGCTGACATCGCTTCTTACTCACGACTGCTTCCCCTTTTCTTTCACCTCCACTCACCTCTCCTCCACTCACCTCTGTCTTTTGATTATTGCTATCTGCATCAAGCAGCAGGAGGATAATGTGTTCAGTAATTTAGATGCAATCCATTCTTTCCAGCAATTTCACTTGAAAAGTTTAGTTTTCAAAACTACCAGGCCAAGGCATCCACTCAGAGCTTTCTATTTGAGTAAATATTGTCAAAACTTTATGCCTACATTGTCTTGTGGTATTTGCAGGAATGCCTTTTTTTTTTTTTTTTTAAATACGGGTTTTATTTCTGTATAAAGATAAAAAGCAGCAAAGATAAGCTGAGAGAAGAATTCAGGGTACTAAAATTCAGGGTACTAAATTCAGGATATTTAACTTGCACATCCATGTCCAAACTGGGTTGTGCGCTAATCAGGAAGCAAGGAGCATATGCCTTTTTAATTAGATTGTCTTAAAATTTTATGCTGTCTGTGCAGTTTCAAATTACGGCAGTGATCCTGCAACGCTGAGGTCAATGAGATTACTGACAGGCATAGTTACTCATGAGACAAACCTTTGAAGATTGTATTTAGGAGTCTGGGGAATCATGCAGGAGAAAAATCAGTTTTAAACTCTATGAGATTTTTCTCTTGTCTTTTACTAGAATTCGTAATTTTAAACAATTTTTCTGGCTCTTAAATATTAATGAGAAGCCTCAATCTTTTATTATACAAATTCAATCATTCATTGCCTCAAACGATGGGGAGAAACTGAGAGGGTTTTTTTTAATCTAAAGGGTGTCTTCAGTTTTCTCTCTTTAATCCAGTATTTTACAGTTTAGAAGAAATTATATAAATTGTGACTCAGAAAATCATCAGAATAGCATTTAAATACTTAAATGTGGCTGTGTTCTCAATCTCACAAAAATAAAGTATAAGATAGTGCTTAAGTGAGAATTGTTCACCTAAATACCTAAATTGGGGAAACAGAAGAGAGAAGCATAAGCTATGTTCTTAGATGAGGAAAATTCCAAGTTGAATTTATCCTATAAACTCCTAAGTCCAGAAAGGTTTTATTTTATTCTTTGTCTCAGAGAATTTGTAGTCCATAAATCTGTTCCATGAACGTCCATTTTTTCATTTTGACCATGGAACAGTGTAAGCAGCTTTCCCCCCACCCTTTTTTTTTCCAGTTAGGCCTGATGCTGTGTGTTGATATAAAATATGCAGTCAGTGTTTTAACATTGTGATAATACAGTGTAATCACAAACCTTCCCAAGCTTCTTTTTCCTCCTTTCCTCTTTTGATATCCCAGCTATTGAACTGAAGATGTTAGCACCAGGAGGTGCTTAGACTTAGCACCAGGAGGAGACATACAGGAGGGTAAAGTCAAGGTGGTGAAGTTGCTCTGGTTTATCTTCTCATCTCTAAGTTGCAGATATCTCTGCTAGATTTTGTTTATGTGCAAGCCTGGTCACAGCTGTTGTTACCCTTTCCTTTTCCTTGGACTTGCATGTTCTTGAGATTGATATTTAATTATTTTTTTGAAGCAAGAATTTTCATACAGACTTAAAAAAAAAAAAAGTTCATGAAGTGCAGTACAGGGATAAGGTATTGCATAACCATAAAATAACCTCAAATCCAGTCGGTGGTGCAGACTAGGGGTGAGGGGACGAGTTGTTCCAGCAAATAAAAAGTTGGAAATGCCATGCATATCTGTCAGTTCATCCAGAGGAAGCTTCTGGAAAAAAGCTTTCAAAGTAAGCTGAAAATCCTTTGCACATTACTACACTTACTGTACAGGCACCGGGGATCCAAGGCTGCCTTACAGCCATTACTGTTGGGTGGTGCCTGTTCTGACATGACTGCCCAGGTAAGAAGTGTGTTGAGAAGAAGAAATGCTCATTCTCTGATTCATCTGCAGAAGGTTCTTCATCTGAAAACAGCAAGGAGAGAACTCAAGAAGCAAAACTGTTGATACACTATAAAAAATGGTTTTCAACTAAAATGTTTGTAGTACACATATAGCTTAATGTGATTCCATATTTACTGTTCTCCCTGAAGAGATTTTACATGCATTTACAAAGGTTTAGAAACTAGTTGTAAGAATCCCAGTTTTGTTCCTCATCTTGTAAAAGCTCTGAATTTCTGCAGGAAGTAATTTGAAAGCATTCAAATGAGAGATAATAGATATATGTTTGTGTGGAGCCTGTGGTGAGATTCACCCATTTTTCTTCCCACCAGGTTTGGAGGAGACCAGCCTGTGTACATCAATATTATTAGAGATCCTGTCAACCGATTCCTGTCCAATTATTTTTTTCGACGTTTCGGAGACTGGCGAGGAGAACAGAATCACATGATCCGTACCCCCAACATGAGGCAGGAGGAAAGATACCTGGTATGTTTAAATAAAAGGTTTTTATTACCAATTTCCCATCACTGTTATGCAGTGCTGTTATTCAAACTGGATGCATGAAAAGTGGGAGACAGGCATCTCCCATCTTGTGTTTTTCCTCTGCCTTCTCTTGCCTGATCCTTAGTTTGCTCAACTTTCCTGTGTAGAGTGTTGCAAATGAATTCAGTTTGATCTTGAATAAGCTGACAGCAAGTTCCAGATTTCCATGGCTGAATTATGGTCCTTACACTGCGTTGGATTTGCACTGCATAGTAATATAATAATTCTGCCTATATTTATCACTGTGAATATTCACACAGATTTTTAGGTTCAGACTATGTCTGTAACTCTGCAGCCTCAGAAGAAAATTGAGAAAGAGCAATTCAGGGAGCTCAAGTCTCCAGTGTTATTGCTGCCAAGTTGTTTGTAATGTTCTTTACACCAGGGCTCTAATCTCAGATCTTGCTTTGGTTTTGTTGCCTGTTGTTGTTTTTGGGTTAAGATGATGGCAATAATGCTGAATAAACTATTCATAACAAGTTTTAAATTTGTACGACTGCTGAACTGTCGTAACACCTGCCAGTTTTTGTTGCAAAGCAAGGTCCCATGGCAGTAGGTGTTGAAGGAATGCTAAATAAGAAACTAAGAAGCTAGGAAGGTGGTTAGTTTGGTTTATTATTGATCACTTTGCATGTGCACAGATACCTCTCAAAAAGACAAAATGATGGAATTACTTCTTGCTCTCTCTCTAATGGAGATCCAGTTGGATTGGATTCAGCCTTCAGGCATTCTTGAACTGCAGAGAGTTCAATGAAACAGCAGTGACAGGACAGCTTGATGGTCTGCTATGAGATGTTGCAGGCCAGATAATGTCAGAACAAGATATGTCTGTGGCTTTTGGAGGAGAAAGAGAGGATGTTTTTGTGAGGTTTTGAAGAGGCAGTAGAGTACAACATGTGTGATGAGCCGTAGAGAACACAGCTCTGAACAATTGCCACACGCTACCTTTCAGCCCTAGCTGAAGTTAGATGAATCCAAGGTGGGCCGGGTTTTTTCCCTGTTACAGAGCTGTTTAAATTTCATTTGTCTTCTGGTTTTGGTCATGTAGAGCCCTGTGAACAGACAAACTTGTACATTATGGGTAACTGAAGGGGGAAGTATCAGTGTAATGGTCTGATAGCCTTAAATTTAATGAGACATCTCCTATACAGGTATAAACTGTGAAGGGTTTCTTATTTGCTATGTGCCTATAGATCCCTAAGAGGTCCCTATGCTGAGTGGGTCTTGACCTCCTGGTGTGCAAAGCTGGAAGGTTTTTCCTGTTGTGTGTGCATGGACTTTTGCTTCACTGTCTCTGAATGGGACAAGAGGGTTCAGGAAATTACTGATTAGTGGGGGTTTTTACTACAACTTTATACCAGTACTACATTTTCTTTTTTGGAAATGTTAAAAGTGAGTGGTAGAGCCTGTACTTTGTTTTGAGTGCCTTCTCATTTGAAGTGCAGTGATTGGCATCTCTTATGACTGACTCTGGTATTATTCCAGTACTGACTGCGCAGCTTAAGACATGATCTATATAGCCAGTGAAATTTTACTTCAAGCAGAACGGAAACAAATAGATCCAATTCATATTGTCTTGGTTTAAAAACTAATAAAAATTACCTTGCATTTTCTTAGGCATTGGTATGGTCTTTAAGAAGTTAATTATTTATATGGATATGAAGATATCTGTGAATACATAGATCAGTACAAAAGCTATAATGAAAAAGAAATAAAAAGTGTCTGACTGAGGTCAGTAATCATTTTGTTCAAAACGCAGTTTGTTCATCTGAGGCACCATTAGTATCCTTAATAAAAACTATTTTTGTATTTTTATTTTGATTTTCTCTGTTGGTAAGTCAGTGTTAGAATCCTGGAAACATTTTTGGAACCTGTTTTCCATCGTTCCTTGGCAGACTTTGGCAGTCACTTGCACTGCTCAAACAGAGTGACAGTAAGACATAGGTCACTTGCCATTGAAATTAATTGTCTCAAAAGCTGCTCATTCTGAATGTTCAGCATTTTTAACACTTTAACTAACCAACTACATCATATATTGCATGTCTGCATTCTAATATTTTCCTCAGTGGTGCAAGAAAATCAGCTGGCGTATTTCTTAAAATTCAGGTATTGGGGATTTTGGAGTCATAGCTTCAGAAATCTGCAAAATCAATTGTCAGATCTAAATGTGAAGAAAGTAAGCAGCTGGTTTTACCTCTGAGACTGAACCAATATTCCATTTTAGCACAGGACTGATGGGTGGCCGCACTGCAGGTCACATAATTTTTGCAGTTCTTCCCTAATATTCTTTTAAATGCAAAACTCATCATGAAGCATTACTTTTTTTTACGGGGGACTGTTTAAGGATAAACTTAGATTTAGCATATGAAATAGTTTCAACATTGATCACAATATTAAACCTAAGTTGTTGGGGATGAGGTGTGCCTGACCACTAGCAAATACATGAAAGCAGGGGGAGGATATGAACTTTTACTTTTCTTCTTCCATCAGCCAGGAAAACACATAACTGTTAATTGATCCATGACACTGAGCTCTTTGCTGGAGTACTTGATGTTGTGTGATAGCAGTTATGGACTTACAAAATGGACTGGAGAAGCTTTAAATATTACTTTCCTGTTTTACCAGAAGAGATGGGTTTGCAGGCAAAATATATGTATCTGGAAAGTGGGTCTTAGAGGCTAATTGTGCTTTTATCAACCATGATGTTCTTGGCTTCCTGTCTCTTGGAAGGTGGTGTGGGCACCTGGGAGCCTTTCCAGGCCATCTTGGCATCTTCATCAACAGCTGCCAGCAATGGTCGTCTCCATTGAAAAGCTGAGGGCAGCATCCATGTTCCCTCAAACTGCAGCGTGAAGGTGTGGGAGCTCAGCTGCTCTGGAAAGCAGGCTCTTAAGGGTGGAAAAGAATTTTAAGATCACGTTGTGATGCCCTTGATGGAAGCATTCCCTCCCCTCAATTCTGATCCTTATGAAAAAAGGGAGTTGAAAAAAAAAACATACTATCTTGAAGTCTTGCAGTACCTTGCATGCTGCTTTTTAACATCGAAAATCTGAACTGCTGACATTGCAAAGGTCAGAAATAGAGACAGAAATTTCTGCCATTCATTGATCATTTGAAATTTTCTCTGAATAGAGCTTCAGGCTTTGACTTTGTTCCAGGAAACACAACCATTCATTCAGGAGTCAGATAAATTGTTCTAAACATTTTGATAAATGTTTAGATAACATTTTGTCTGTGTTTACCAAAATTTAATTGAAAGTCAGGATAGAAAACAAGCCTTTTATTCATGAGTCAGATAACAGCAGAGGCAGCTGCTGCAATGTGTGACTTTTTACCCAGATCCACCAGCTCCTTGCCAGTGCCTGACCTGGCACTTTCACTGCTGGACTGAGTTACTGTTAGTCACCTGAAGAAATCACTTCCAAGCTTCTCCCCAAAAAAATAGTGGCAGCCTGGTGGTGTGGAGTATGGCAGAGAGGTAATTAATGGTGAGCACCTTGAGCCAAGTCTCAAGCACACTGATGTGACTGTCAGCCCTACATTATGGTCCTGTAAGATGAGATAAATTCACAAAAGTTAATTTAAATCCATTGTAGTGAATGTGTTTCAGGTCGAACTAGAGTTCTTGGAGTAAATATGGTTGAATAAAGCAAGCAAACCCTTATCAGTTGTGAGTGGTGCAGGTACCAAGCAAAAGAAAAACATGCCTGAGATGTGATTTAGTTCAGGGCTTGGAAGGGCAGGAGGTAGGAAGCACCCCGATGAAGAGGGACTACTATTAATATTTTAATGTTTTATATTACAATTGTTCCTTCCAGAAGACTTGTTTGTAATTGTCTAGTGTTTATTACAGCTTCAGTTTGAGGTATCAAATATTTTAAAAGGCATGTATAGGTGTTTCATGTTTTCTTAATAATTGATGAAACTTTGATCTAAGACTACTCAGGCTGAATAAGTGTGTGAAGCAGCATAGGCTGTGTGTTGTTGCCGGAATTGCAGGAAATCTGGTTAGAGGGGATTCTGATCTCTGTTAGGCTCATTAATACTGCAACTCCTAGCTCACTCCAGTAAAAGATTGCTGAGCTAATGTATCATAAGTGAGAATTTTTGCATTTAAAAAATCATTCAGTGAGAGAAGAACTTGTCACCTTCCCATAGGATATTTGAAATTTTCATTATAATTAGGAGTTACATTTGCACAGCATCTCTGTATGGCTCTGTATAGTTTTTCAACTTCATCTCTGAAAATAAATATGTTTTTCTCAGCAAAAATTAAAAATATTCTAACAATATTCAACCTCATTTATGTTAAAGATTACTCATGCAAGTGATCCCATAAAGGAGCATCTGTCCTTTTGTGTTTTAAATGAAATGTTAAAATAATTGTTAAAAGTGTATTAAGATTACTTTAAAGGAGGGAAGTAAAATTCAAGTGATGTCAGGGAACTTTCACATCAAATTTCTTATAATAGGGAAAAAATTCCTTTTGCAATGCTAACTTTTATGGCTAAATACTTAAACTAATGTTTTTTAGGTTATTTCATAAATTCCAAACAAAATAATTACAAAAGGTGAATGGGTAGATGATGTTCCCTTCACCATAGAACTTTTTTTTTAGTCTTGAATCTTGAGAATTTCCTTTTATTATTTCCATGGTTTTCATTAATATAAGAATATTCACTAAATATATTTAACTAGTTTAGTTATTTATATCCTCAGACTTCTATCTACAATGAAAAATATTCTTTTACCAATTACACTGATTTTCAGACGGCAGCTGGCTGTCTTATTTCCTGTGTTTATCTGCATAATATCCTGGGTAATTATATTATGAGTTGTCATCAGTACCTGACATCAGTATTTGTCATCATTGAGCTTTCTCCTTCGTGACTTCAGATAAGTTTCTTGAAGCTTTTCAGTTGCCTGACACGTGGCCTCCAGGA